TTATCATTTTGTAAGTGGAAAAATGTGGGAGCAACCTACTCTGACCTGCCTGGCACAAATGATCCATCACAAGGGGAGTTCTGAGAAGGCTGCTGCAAACTGCAGGGCTTTCATAAAAAGAAGTACTTCTTAGTGGTTCTTAACAGTATAAGATGAAAGTTCAAGCAGATAACTGCAGATAGTAAGACATTTCCTCAGCAAAGAAAACAATAACTTCTGTGTAACAAAGAGGCCTTTCATTTTCACCCCTGGCTCCTCCAAGCTGCAGATGTTTCAATGTTCTGTGACTGTCCAGGGTTTACTGCAGTGATAAGATCTTATACGTGATTTCTGAGGGGAATGCAAGAAGAACTGGTTCTTCTGTTCATAAGAAATTTACCTCAATGGAGCCATGCCAATTTATATTGGACGGCGGTGTGGCCCTGATTTCCTAAGTAGAAAGTTATTTTTGACCTTCCTGATGTTTCCACTGGTTGACCTTTCAGGTTTCCACAAAATTAATTGTCACCAGATGATAAAATAAGTTCCAAGTTCTCATTTTTCTAATTGAGCTTTCATATTTACTTCCAGACACATGAAAGATTTCTAATTTAAGGAAATTGATGGCTCAGTGAGCCATGCTGCTCCGATCTGTGCACAGATGGGACCCCCACTCAGCACATTCTTGTGCTGAGTGAATGTAGGATGGGTTTATCTCCATCACACAGGTTGGTCCCTTTTTAACTAAGCACTTTACTGAGCTCTTCTGAAGATTCATACTCTGTACATGAAAAGGGGCTTTATAAGGAAAGGAGGAAGAGAGACCCTGAAAGTAAATCCTGAGGCCATATTAATAGGTGTGTAGATTTTATGATCAGAAGTGAATGCCCCTTGTGGCAGCAGCAAAGGACAGAAATACTTCTCCATGAAGCCAAAGACAAAAAGATTTCAGAACTGAACACCAGTACCAGGCATCCACATGGCCTTTGTGCAGCAGATCTTGTGAGATGTTAATCTCATACTGCCTTGAAGTATTCTGGAAAGACTTAGAGAGAAAGAAATGTCATAAGAGGTACTTCACCTCCTACTTCAGTGAGGATTTTTTTCCTTGGGTAAATGGGACAATTCTCCCTTTTATCTGCAGCCTTATGAATACAGTGCAGGAGTGATTGAAAGTTATTTACCATTAGATGAAAATTTCCATTGCCAGGATAGCTTGGATTTCCCAACAATGCCTGTGACAACCTGTTACCAATACCAGCCCCCAGAACAACCACTTCTGAAGTTAGTAGTTGCTAACTAGCAACTCCTCTAATAGACATTTTGGTCCCAGTGCCACTCTCAAATGGACAGATGATCTTATTGTAACAGCAGTAGGCAGCTGCTTCCCTTGCGGTTAACCTCTGCAGACCAGATGATGCGTAAGATTGAGCTGTAGAGGTGGTTATAGTTCCTGCCAGATTATGTCTGAAGAAAAGTGACTGGATGGAAGGAAAAACTTTTCCATTGTTTCTCATTCCAACTTGTCCTCACACTCACATATTTTAGGATCTCTGTACATCTCTGTTTTTTAACTGTGTCAGCTCTCCACCACTCTCCCAAACCTGGACCTGTTTTACCAACTTTTTTTAAACCATCTCTGCATTCTCTTCCAGATACCCCATATTCATGGAATACTTCTAAAAAATTAATTCACAAAGACGTTACTTCTTTTTCAGCTCATTCCTCAAGGTCTACACCCACCAGGACATCTGCAGGAAATTACAAGCTAATAATAGCTAATGAGGATAGCTAATAAAACTAATGAGGATCTTCAAAATACTTTAAAACAGATTCCATGTTTTATTTGTCTTTTTCACCTTTTGGATTATATTATCTCTTGCCTGGTAAATGTCACCACCATGCTTTTTAATCTCTTTATTAAACACTGGAATATCTCTATGCACATAAATTTTAGCCTGTGCAGTGGACCAGAAAGATGATGCACAGCAGAATATGGAGGATTATCTCCACTACGCCCACAACTGAGAATATAAAGAAGGTTTGGACTTTGGATCCTGGATATTTCATTCATTTTATGGCGTCTGGGGACTTCAGGCTTCATTCTGAAAGGGATGCAAGAGATAATGAGTACAAGTTACTCCTGGGGAGATTCCAATTGGACAGAAGAGGAAAATTTTTGACAATAAGAACCATCAGCCACTGGAATAAACATAGAATCAGAATCACAGAATGATTTGGGTTGGAAGAGACCTTAAAGCTCATCTAGTTCTACCCCCCTGCCATGGGCAGGGACATCTTCCACTAGACCAGGTTGCTCAAAGCCCCCTCCAACCTGGCCTTGAACACTGTCAGGGATGGGGCAGCCACATAATATCGCCAGGGAAGTGGTGGTCTCCCTGATGTTGGACACTTAAGATTTGGCTGGAGAGGGTACTGGGACATCTAGCCTAGGTCATGCTTTGCCTAGAAAGGTTGGACTAGATGATCCTTGAGGTCCCTTCTGACATGGTATTCTGTGGTTCCCCCTCAAACCCTTATGGGCTTCACGCAGCCCTGGAAAGCCAAGGCTACAGGCAAGTTATGTTCTCATGGAGCCATTGATCCAAACTGACTCTGTAGGATTCTGTAAATTACTCCAGAATTGCCCACAAGGCAACATAAAGCAAGAAAATTGGCACTGTTGCTTAAACGAAGACATGGAAATATACACTGATTTCTTCTCTTGTGCTTACTTCAGGCAACACTGTAATTATGCTGAGGTTAAGTTTATTCACAGAAACATCTTTTAAATCCAGACCAGCTCCCCTGACTTCAGTGGAGTTAATATGGATTACACAAATGTTAGCAAGGATGAGATCTGGTCCTAATTTAGGACACATCTGCCAGCACAGATGGAGCTGAAAGAGTTTACTGTCATGTCAATTTTCTACCTTTGTTTGCGATTCTTCTGAGCATGGAACAAACTCAAAAATTTTAAAATCTCCCCTTATCATGGCTGCTGAATTGCACCAGAACATGAGATGGCTTTGAACTCAGGTAAATAGTGATGGCTTAAAAAAATAGCCTCTTGAAAAATAATGGCTGAATCGTCCTGTAACTGCTTTGAAAACTGATTAACTTTTTTGATGAGCAATTCTATGACATTCTCCTGGCTCCTGTAAATTAATCACCTGAGTAATAGTTTGCATGACTGTAGCCCAAGGAGCAGTTTGCCACACTCTTCACCCAGGCAAGACTCCAGGAAGTTCATGTGGAGTTTGCCTGATAATAACTGCTGGTTTTATTGCTTGATGGATGTCAATCTAAAAATAAAAATTGCTACCTTTAAATCGAAAACGTTGTTGTGATTCTGGGCCTTAATCTGTTGATTTTTAAAATGGATTTCTTTTTTCTGTTGTTCATTTTGTTGCTTTAAAAAGTGAATGATGGAGCAGCACCTTCTTATAAAACCTGGAAGAGTATTTTATAGCACATGCAAGTGGCTTGCATGCCGTGAAGCAGAATATTTCTTTTTCTCTGCCATCCAATATGTCTTTTTTTTTTTTAAATTTTTTTAAATTAGGTCAATAATGTGTCTATTTTTTATCTTAAGGAAAAAAAAACCCCAAAAAACAACTGTCTAAAGAATTAAAGAATTCAGGGTCTGATTGTACAAGAATCACTGTTTGGAGAAAGTATTGATTTTATGATGGAGAAAGAGATCTTGTTCTTAAGCTCTGCTTTTATTGTGGAGTCAGAAATCTTACAGGTTTGTGTATTATCATATTGCTCTAAGGGATAAAACCACTCTTGAGCAGATCAGTACCAAATTTGTACAACTAACCCCCTTAGTGTAAATTTTAAAAATCTAATTCCTAAGAATAAAAGGCAGAAGGGTAAGTTCTTTTCTGGCTTAATCTGATTCACCTGAGTACTTACTTGTGCCAGCACAGGCTTAGAGTGCATTGTAGAGTGAAAAGGAATAATGCAACTTATTCTATAGCAGTGCAAATCTAGGGTAACTCCTGTATCCAATATTCTCCCTCAAAAGTAGCGTGAGAAAAGTCAAACCAAACACACTGAAGATGACGTGCAGAATTTGAAACAAAATGAGACACATATGGGGAGGAAATTGCATTATAATCATTTGATTACGTATTTCGAACAGATTTCTGGGGCCCGTGGCATAACCATAAAGGACATGGATTTGGTAATGTAACTTTAGTGATATTAGTGTAAATGTAGAGTTGCTGAGGTGATATCATGTTAGCTCCATTAATTCTGTAAAATCTTGCTGATACTTATTTTTTTTCCCTCAGCCTATTTTAAGTGCGTGATTAAGAATTTTGTAAACTGAGCTTTTATGCAATAGATCATTCATAACAGCAATTACTCATCAAGAATATTCTCAGCTGAACAATTTGATACAACAGGTCAGATTCAGATTTCCTAGTGATGTGCTCCTCATGAAGTTGCCTTGAATCACAGTAGGGTTAACCAGAAGCAGAAGCCTTATGTTTTTCAAGATGTAACCCAGGAAACGTAATTCCGATGGCAATTTTAACCTCTGTTAAGGCTGCCCAGATTCAGAGCTTTGAATTAGAACCATTCATGATGCAGGGTTCAGATATTCAGTTCCAAATCTTCCCTCCATGAAAGACAACAGAAGTTATTAGACAGAAGAAGGTAAATAACAAAGCCACCTACCAATGATACAGGTGGGGGGAAAAAATTCTCTTTACACCCACAGCACTGCTGAGAATTACACTGGTACCTATCAGCTGGAAGTCAAAGCCACAAAGCTGCATCACCTGGGAGAAGATATTAGCTGGGGGATTGGTGAAATCTGAGCAGGAGGGGCAACAAGTATATAGAGAGGTGCTGAGGGGGTAGGTACCTTCTGATCACAGGGACCTTGTGGAAAGGAGCAGGTGTGGTCGATTTCAGGGAGGGAGTGGATGTGAGAGCTCTTCAGTGGGAGCTACCTCGCAGCACAGCATTGGTTTTCCTTTCGTGGCAAGTTTCAGAAGGGCTCAAGCATGTGCATCTCTTGGATTGTATTAGCCTTCTGCTGCCTGGGACAGCTATGTGCAGGTAAGAGGCATCTATCTGCAGTCTCTTCTCCTTTTTTGTTGCTCCTTTCTTTGTATCGCTCCCCTTTCTGTTTCTTTTATGTTGTTGGTTTGGTTTTGTTTGGTTTTGTCTTGGGTGTCAACTCCCTGCTCTAGGACCTGTGTTGGGAGGGGAGTCTAAGGCTTCAAACATTTACTTGGCTGGAAGATTGCTGAAGTGTCTCTACTGTACATAGGCTGGGAAGGAGGAGGAGTTGCTGAGTCTTTCTCCTTATTTTTAGTTAATCTTTCTTCAGAGACTGGAGATAGGATGAACTCGTGTGGGGAGGGAGGAAGTGTCTGACATAAACCTTATTAATACTGCTTTTTCCTTCCAGTGCCTCACCCAGGCATTTTTTCATTTCTGTAAGACTTTGCTCAATCTCTCATTCTGTATGTTTACAAGTCTGGTCTTAAAAATCTTATTAAGACTCCTTTTTGCTAAAGGATTTGAGAACTGACTGTACAGCTTCTGGTGCTGCCATTGGAGGTGGGGGTCTGTACATCGGACCCTGAAGGCAGAGGTTCAAGTTTCCCCTATAATGAGGTTTTGCCTCTGTCCTTCTGATGTGTATGCTTGAGAAGCAACATTTCTTATCTCCCTCCCTAAATCCTTGGGTTCCCTATTTTGCATTAAAGTAAAACCCCCAACTCTCAAACTTTCACAGGTCAGGTAAGCTGTTTCCTGCTCGGCTGCAGTTCACGCCCCCCTTTTATGCTTGAATGTAGTTTGTTAGCACTGCTAGATCCTCCCTTTTGAGTTAGAGCTTGCCGGGTGAGAGGAGAAAGACTTTTTCATGTGCTTTTTTGGATAACTTTCTCTTCTAGACCAAAGCCTGAAGCCTCAGATTGCAGCCTCCCGGCTTGTTGCAAACAATCGTACACTTACTACAGTTACTCTAGAAAAACCTTTCTGTATGTTTGATGGCTCTCTGCGTCCAAATAAATCTTATGCCATCTACTTATATGCAATGAAGGAATTGGGTGAGTATCCAGTGCTATGCCCCTCTTTAAGATAACTACATAATGTGGCCATTGAGTGCAGTTCCCCACAGTTTGATGGGAGTGGATCTGAATGGGGGAAAGAGAAAAATCTATCCTGTAAGCTATGTACAAGGTAAGCCTCTGGTCTGAGTTTTCTCTAAAGTGTTAATAGAAATAACTAGTATTTCAATGGGGCTGATTAATGATAGCAAATATAAGTACTGTGCTAGCTGACTCCCAGTAGGTGTGGAGCAGAACTATTAGCTACAGATGTTTGTCCAAATCTTGCTAATGAAACCAAGTGGTCCACAGTCCAATACCTTATCTTTGTCTGAACACAAATGTCTTGTATAAAAGCTTGAATTCCCCTAAGTAAACCTGCTGAGAGAAAGCGGGTAACTGCTGCTGTTTATTTCATAGTTATGGTAGCCAGCCCTTGCAATGACTTCATTCTTTTTTTTGTAGACAAAGGCAAGCCATGGGAGACTTGTGGTCAAAGATGTCTGGCCCATGGGTTCGGTCATTAAACGAATTTCACAACTGCTTGGCAATGAAATGTTGCTGGCAGTGACCAAGAGCTGCCTTCTCTGCTCCCTGCTGTTCTGGCAGACTGTTTTGAACACTGGCTAGAGCTCGCTCCTCCATAAGCTGATAGAAATAAATTACTTCCTGATATCGCACCTTCTCCCCTGTAAGCTGTATGCAGTCTCCTTTGCTGAGAGGCACAAAGAAGAGATCTTGGGGGGAGAGGGGAAGGGGTGGTAGTGAAAATTGGCCAGCAGACAGAACAGTCTTAAAAACTTCCACTGCTGATTGTCGCCCTTATGCACAAGTGGAAGGATGTGGCTGTGGACAGATAGAAGCTGTAACCAGAGACACCATCCCATATAGCTAACATGGACAACTGTGAATGCATGGCCACCTGAGACATATCCCATGACTGAAATGCGCATAAATCTAAACCAGACTGTAAGTGCATTATAATCATGTAAAAGGCTACATGGATGAGTGAATCTCAGCAAAAAGGGTTATATATGGAGAAATCTCTTTTGCTGCTTTTAAGGCAAGCAGATGCAAACTTGTTACTTGCCAGGCTGGGGGGAATTTTGTTTGGATTTGTCTCTGGTCTGCAGAGAAAGGCACTGGCTCAGCTTTGGATGCCTTCTGGAGCAGGGAGAAGTAAGATTTAAGAGAAATTAACTTCTTAACATCTTATGTTCAGCTCTACTGGTATGGAAATGTGTCAGCATACTACAAAGCTGAGGGTCTAGCAAATTTCTGAAGAAGTTAATACAACTTTTAGCTCTATTCTTCTTAATGTTACTATTGGACTTAACCTACCTAGTAAAGTTTAAAAAAAACAACCAAAACCCAACAACAGCAACAAACCCCAAACTCGCTTCTCACCAGAGCCAGGCTAAGACTTACTGAAGTGGAGACTGGGTGAGCAGGAAGACCCAGCTGTGAGAAGTATAGTAACTTGGGGAAGCAAGCCTAAGAATAGAGCATGTTTTAGTATTTGCTTTCATGCAATCGGCTTCTATTGAAAAGAAGGGTTTCAGAGCTCAGCTAACTTGAGCTCTGATTCTTAAGATGTATTTCTAACCTGTGCTAGAAACTTTTCCCTTTTAACAGGTTTAAATTTGCATTGGGTCATAGCTAAAAGCTTCTCATGACCATCAGTTGCAAGAACTCGCCTCCAGGAGCACAGCAGAATACTTCTACGTAGGAGCAGTTCCCAATGTACCACAGCTTTGGAAAACCTGGCATTTCTTTGCTGCTGACAGCACTGAACAGCTTGAGGGGGCTCCCCCCAGAAAATTTAACCTGCAGTTGCAGAACTTGGGAGCATCTCTTGGGACTTGGCCCTTGGCTTTGCAGCAGGAAAGCTTTGTGAGCTTCAACTGAGCTTCCAAACTATGCTGTAGGGCTGGGTGCAGATTCATATTTTGTTTGAAGCTGTGAGGACTTTCACACTTTCTAAGGCATGCTGTCTGGAAGCAGTGACATGCCCAACTGGCCAGAAATGTAGATACTGTGTCTGTTTATGCAGCCCCTACACACTGGGCTGTATACTGTGTGATTCTGGGAGATGCAGGTGCTGCATGACCAGAGGTCTATGGGTTTCTGCTCCAGGAGACAGGAGAGTTGTGACTGTGTAGGAACTCTGCCCTGGCTATAGTGTCAAATCTGAAACGGCATGACTTAGTGGATGTTTACTGGAGCCAGGGTGTGGCCTTTGCCACCCTCTTCCCTACTCCATCAGATTCCTCTTGGAAAAGAGGAATTTTGGGAGGGTGCCTACTAAAAAGGATGGCTTTGAGATATGCTGTGGATCCTTCCCAGCTTCTGAGAGACAAGTGTAAAGAGCTTCAGCAACAAAAAAGGAGGAAGGGGTAGGATCCCTACACAGCAGATTTTTGGTTTCCCTTTTGAGAGTTTCAGGGTAGAAGTGCAAGTTTTCAAGGAAATACAGGGTGCATAGGAAGGGTTGAACTAGTTCTAACAGCCTTGTTAAAATGCCTCTCTCTTGTAGCAAGTGCTGTCAGCTCCCTGGTGACCAACAATAGCAGCAAACCACTTGACAGCACCTTCCAACAAACAAATGGGGGGCAGCTTGGACCTTACAAGGCTGCCTTGTTCAATGTACCCAATTGTGCATCGCCTCCCAGACTTGCCGATGTAGGAGACATCAACAAAGTTTCTGATCTCCTGAAACAATACCTCTTCAGAGTCGGGGATGATGGGACTTGTTTGTACGACCCAAACTTCCTAGGTGTCTGTAACCCACCTCTTGCACCAGACACAACATACAGGTATAATGCTTATTTCTTACAAGGTGATTACTGCTCTTAAAACATAGTAGGACTCAACATTGAGTCTGTAATGTTCACTTGTGACAGGATGATGTGAATTACCAGTCTCTAATTGAAATGCTCCGTTGCGAAGGTAGTTATGAAGATGGCTTGGCTTTGGTCTATCACCCTGCAAGTGGTTTGCAGTGGTGCCCTAGCAGTGGTGAGCTCTATCAGGTTAAATTCATAGATCAGTAGGAAAATCCACGTGTGAATTGCTGGATCTGTACCTGTGTTGGAGTAGATAATCCAGTGACAGCCTCTCATTAGAAACTGCTGGTAGAAAAGGATTTTGACTAGAAAATGATGTTGAGATTATACACCATGTATTTAATGTTAAATAATTCTGCCAAATTGCAGACACTGACCTGGCTCTACTTGCTTTGTTTTGATGGCTCCCTGGAGAGCCAAAGTCCTCCTTGGCTTCCAGCTCCAGGAAGCCCTAATATTCCAGGAGACTTCACAGTGAGGCCAGGTGGCTTGCAGGCTGGTCTGACCCCGTTGTCTGAGGAAGCTGGCCACCTGGGGAATGTGGGCACTGTGACAGCTCTTACACAAAACTTTTGTTTTGCTGTTGCCATCTACTTAAAAGCCATTGTAAAAATAGCAGTCCCATGGAGCCACATCTTCTGTGGAGACCTAATATGCTTCCCAAACAAAATACTATGGGCTCTCAGTTTTGCAAAAAACGTCTTGCCTCTGCTGTCTCTTCAGGACATTTTTGAATTGAAACTTAATTTCTTTGCCAAAACAGTGTTGGCCTGTCTCTTCAAGTCTCTCCTCTACCAGGGAAAGTGCCAAAGATCTCTATTATTGGACAAAATCTTTGACTTCCATATGGAAATCAAAACCACTTGTCCTATATAATAAAGGTCCTCACAACAGGGAATAGCGAGCTGGGAGAAACTGTTGTTGGAAAGCTATCATCTGCCAAGGCTCACAGGAATTAAGTGCAAACCGTGCATGACATGGCACAGAATGCTCTTCCATGATTAATTCTTTTTGTTCTTTATGAGTTCTCTGGAAATACTCTGTTACCTTTGACAGTCTCCATCTAATGCTTTGACAAATCCTGAAGTCTAACCAGCTAATGCATTAGCTTAAAAATGCCAGTAAGGAAGCTCAAATTGCAAATACCTAATGTAACACTTTCTCCTCACAGGTTTAAATACTTGTTGCTAGACAGCACCGAAGGTATTGTGAAAGACCAAACTCTCTGGTCTGACCCAATCAAAACCAGAAGAGGTAAGTCTTTGGCTTTGCTCAGGTCTCCAGAGTAGCTGTGTTGCCTTAGGACGCTTGGTCTATGAGCAACACCCAGCCTTTCCTACAGTTTGAACAATTTTGTCACTTTCAGTATTGGAGTGGGAGATTTAAATGTGGAATAATTTACTGCTTTCATGTACTTCAAAACAATTCTTTTAATAAAGTCTGTACATGCGGTTTCAGACTTGATGCATGTTGTCATATCTGGTGCTGTGGACATTTCTCAGTAATACAGATATTTGTCATACTGGCTAACCTGCTGAGAAAAGCTTATGAACTCTAAATGCTGACACTGACTCTTAACCTGTTACTCATAAATCATCTAAGACTTCAGGTATAGACATAATCAGTTAGCCTCTCCTAAATCACCAGCTTTCTCCTATTTGGTAGTGATGTTCATGGTCAGAAATAGATCATAGCAACATTATTTCCATGCTGTTCCAGTTAAACTTCCCTTGAAAATTGATACCTGGCCTGGTCGAAGGAGTGGAGATATGATTGTCATTACATCGATCCTAAGTGTTCTTATGTTCCTTCTGCTTGCTGGCTTTCTTGCTTCTGTGTCCTCTGTTGTCATGTAAGTACTGTTCCATCTTACAACTTCCAGTAAGAACACCTAAATTCTGTTGTCAGCCTTCTTCCCTAAGTCTCCAAGCCACTGTTGCTGGTCTTGTTTGAGATGAGGTCAGATGACGTCCTCCAAATTTTGAAGCTGGTAACAGGAAAAGGCTACTTTATCGTAATCTTCCTTAAGATCAGCAGCTCTTGTAATTGTTATACAGCCTTATGCTTACTAGCTGCCAGACTTTACTGTTGGTTTTCTGTTATTTTTTTTCCCAGTAGTCCTTAATAGAGTTTCACATACTTAAAGCCTGTACATTCTTTCTTACATATTGCAGCTTTCCATCCTGTCAGGAGTTTGGAAACTGCCTTAAGGAGTGCAGGCATTTGTAAAGATTACATAATGTCCTAATTAATGCCTTGATTGTAAGTTATTTGCCTCATCTCCAGGAGAAGTAAGTTATCCCTTTCATCTAATAAGCAAGGCTATGCTGGAGCTGTCTAACCCAACTAGTCTACGCATGTTCTCTAGTCCTACACCTAAACTGAATTTTTGGAAGGAATGAAATAAATTTTAGAAATGGTGGGTACCACAGCTGCTAACACTCACTTATTTCATTGACTCGGAAGTGATGAGAGTGCTCTGTATTCAGCCAGCGCTGCCAGGCTCTCCTGGATTAAAGGTGTGGAAAGCAAAACCTGCATTGAAAATTATTAAAAAAAAAAAAAAAACAACAAAAAACCAAACCAAAAACTATGGGCCTCTCTGATCCTAAATTATTTCGGTAGCAATCAGCCTTTGAAAAGTGTTGTGACAGGAGGCTCTGCGCAGTCTCTACTGGCACTTAATAAAGCCTTTTGCTTGCCCAGCAGGAGATCAGAAGATTCTTCTGCAGAGACAAGGAAAATGTCTCAGACTATTCAACAAAGTGAACCAAGACCACAGTTAAGCTCTGAGTGAACAACCTGATTCAAGTCAAAGGTGGATTTGCCACTGAATTGCTACAGGTGTTAGACCTATGGGACTGTCTCTTCTACTCAACACTGGTTCAAATCAAGCTACAGAGCGCAACCAGACAATGGAAGATAAATGGCATAGATGAAATAAGGGCAGATCTTTTTGAAGTCTTACAGTACATGATAGTTTGTCTTGTCCCAATGAGATTTAATTTGGCTAATTGCCTTGTATAGCACATATCAAATGCCTAGACTGAGAAAAGAATCTTCGTGAGATCCTTCAACATCAGTAATGTGATCAGAGGCTGTCTAGTAAGTATGTCTCGTGTAGAGCAAGCATTACTGCAGACCTCTCATCTGGTAATCAGGTGCTGTTGCCATTTACATTTCAACCTTTCGCTATGGTAACTGATAAGGAATATAAAACCCAGGCTGCTTTAGAAAAAAATGTTCTTAAAGAAAACTTGGGATTAAGGATTAGTCAGTGGGGAGCTACTACTGCATCCTCAGGATTTTAGCGATTATTTGTGTCACTAGAGTTCCCTTTTTGTCTCTCCTTCCCTAAAAGAAAAAAAGCAAATTATATTATGTATGTAACAGAGGACTCTAACTCCTTGCTCTGATCCAGTGTAAAACCAGGCTATCTAACAGTAAGATCAATAATATTAATAAAGCCAAGTAAGTATCATTTCAGCTGTAGACAGTCTATACATTACATTGGATGCTGTAATTCTGTAACTGAAAAGTTCTCCATTTTTGTTTAAAGGAGTTGCTTGAGTCTGGGTGTCAGCATGTACAGCTATCATTTAAAATACAACAGTAGAATAATCCAATCTGTTTTCTGACAGTATCTATTAAGATATACACATCAAGCAGTTTGTCTCTCTCTCTCTCAAGATACAGCTGATTTTAGTCAGTTTAATCCTGCTAATGGGCCTGGTTAAATAGCTCGTATTTCTTCTTGTGCTTCTCATGTCTTTCATTTAAAAGATCTTCACTTTATTTCTTTATGGAAAAATTCAGAATGGATTATAGGGACTGTAGTAAGAAGACAAGGGGTAATAGGTTTAAACAGGGGAAGTTCAGGATAAATCTAAGGAAGAAGCTCTTTACTGTGAGGGTGGTGAGGCACTGGAGCAAGTTGCCTAAAGTGGTAAATGCTCCAACCCTGGCAGTGTTCAAGGTCAGGTTGGACAGAGCCTTGGGCAACATGGTCTAGTGCGACGTGTCCCTGCTCATGGCAGTGGGGTTGGAACTAGATGATCTTAAGGTCCTTTCAAACCCAAACCATTCTATGAGCCTATGATAGATTTGACTATATCCAAATTGCATGTTTATTTTGCAAGCAGTCAGATTTACACTGGAAAATGAAACAGCTCACAGCTCTTTCCTTGGCCTTGAGAACAAGCGACACAGCATGGCTCGCCTCCATGTGCTCAAACATTGTCTTCTCGAAACAGAGGGGCCTTGTCCATACTGCTGTTGGGAATTTAATCTCTTGAGTGTTCTATGTCTATTATGACTTGAAATATTTTGCCTGAGGCTACTTAAACTTTTCACATAACTGATTAGTTTTCACCTGGATAAGTTTTTACTGCTTGTAGATCTGATCTCAGTGATGAGAATTTATGTTGATCTTTTAACAGCTGCACTTGCACCTAAAAAGCTTCTGCTACGATCTCAAGGAGGAAAGATAAGTATTTTTTGCAAAAGAAAGCAACGTGGAAAATTGATACAGTGATGTTTGAGTGAATAAAACAGTAATATAGCGAGCCTCTCCAAAATTCTGTAACAACTTGCACATAACCTATTGCCTATAACTAAATAGTAATTATACTTAATAGTTGGTCAAGGAGTTGGCTAGCCCTCAGCTACAACTGACCATTCTCAATCCAGCTCCTCAATGGCCCATTGAGTTAAATGGGCCCTCACATGTTTAAGCACAAAGACTATTACTTTGGAGTTCTTCCAAAGCTTATTGAATTTATATAGAAAACATTCTCTATACATGCAGTGTACTTAAAATTACTCTTTCCAGTTTTTACCATTCAGAAAATGAACTTTTCCAACAGCTAGGAATTAGCTGAAGACAGTGATTTGTGAGTACCTTCATAAAGTGACAGTGGTATGTCAAAGTGTGTGACAACCCACAATAAGAAATAAAAACGAATTACGATAATAGAAATATAGTTGTAGTTCTCTGATAATCCATAGTGAGGAAAAAGATGCTCTTCCAGCCTATGCTGGGGAAAAATTGCTCTGTAGCACTCAGCAGAATGTGCTGACTGATTTAAAAGCAATAAATCCAGTGCAAATTTAGCTTACGCTTTTGTTGAAATAAAAAAAAAAAACAAATAGCCCACAAGCTATACATCTGAAATACATTAACAATGAGCTATTAGCAAAGTTGTCTCATATCTGCTGGTGCCATTACTTACAGTTTATTATTTCAGTACTCAAATTCTCACTAGGCATTCACATATTTGGTTGAAAAATGCATAACAATCTACTTGTTATGGTCTTGATAAATTATAACATTGGGCTTTCAAGAAATGTGAATTCCTTTTCCTTCTTCTCCCACTCCAGTTTTCTTCTTTCCCACCTACTCTGGCCATTACTTTCAGTGTCAAATAAACATGAATGATGTTCATAAGCTACAGATACATCTGAATTAAAATTGCAATAACACTGAATCTTGGTTTAAAGGAAGACTATTCTTTAATTAAATAAAAATAAAAATCAACTTATTTGCCTGTAAAGGTGAATTATGAGAGAAGCCAGAACCACATCATAAAATGTTTAATAAGAAATTTTTAGTACTTTCTATACGCTTTCCAAATTCAGACAGAACTGCTCAACACTTGAGAGTTACACCTACATTAGTTGGCTATAATTTTTTATTTTTAAAAAAATCCTCTGAAACTATATTTACAAGTAAAAGCCCTTGTGTGGACACAACTGCAATTTGACACTGTGGGTCACCCCAGTCGATACCTTAGGAAGTGTATTTGTTACGTGTGAGAGTCAGAGTATTTAGTAAAACAGTGATTAAAAAGCAGCTTTGACAAGCACTATATCCCAGTCAATAGCATCTGCTGTAGCAGAACACATGGTGAAGGCATGGGTGAAGAAGAAAATGGCTGTTATTACAAACCTTAGATGCAGCTATGTTTTTAAAACATAGTATAGTCATCACCTGAACTCTCCTACAATGCAGTCAAACCACAGGTGACTGGTCAGTGCTAGCCACCTATGACAAGTCTTGATACTGCCTTCCACCTAATGAAGAAAACCTGAAGATTAACCCTGGAGTACCCAGATAACTTATTTCCTTGGTGGTGAGGGCAGGGAAACCCATCCAAAGAGAAAAAGGTACATCTGGCACCCATAGTGGTGATCTGTAATCGAAGGAGTAGTGGTAGCTATGGAAGGCAAAGGTTAACTGCATATCACATGAAAACCATAGTCCACTCAGGTGCGTAAGTGTGCATTTTAGAGACGGGGGAGAGGAAGGTGAATTCTCTGTTTCTCAGACCTACCCAACATTCAGGTGTGGGAGATGCCAGTGCAGTGATCTGGACATGACAGACCCACGTAGGACCGTGGTGCCCTCACCAACAGGTGGACTCAGCACGTTGCCTGCTGGGGCCCTGCCCTGGGTGGTGTAACTGCCGACACAAAGCAGAGGTTTTGCAGTGCTGGTGATGAATATAGCAAGGCAGGAGCATCTTAGCAGTTCTCACTCTGCTTAAAACCTATGCCCGAGCTCTGCCACCCAATGGCTTAGTCGCCTAAATACTGCCACAGTTAGAATATGTGACCTTGGTGAAAAAAATTGCAAAGCTGATGAAGACAGAAGGCTTTCTGCCACAGATGGCAAACAGAAATAGGGCATAGCAAAGGAAAAATAAGGTAAGGCAATAAATTATTCTGGATAAGGAATGTATACGCAATAACATAAGGAAACCCTTTTTTTCCATGAGGGCGTCAAACACTGGGACAGGTGCCCAGAGAATTTGTGGATCCTCCATCCTTGGACATATTCAAAACCTGACTGGTCAAGACCGTGAACAGTCTGACATAGCTCTGCTTTGGATGGTGGACTAGATCTCCAGAGAACTCTTCCAACCCAAGTTTTATGATATTGCACTGTTTACGTACCCATATACACCAAGAACCAAGTGTGTTTTGCAATACAGAAATAAACTATTCACAAATGCCCAGTTGTACAGTAAAAAAATAAATACAGTATAGAGTACATAAACTATGCAGCAGAGTTGCCACAAATATGAACTATAATATGAAGTACATCCTTCACACGATTACTATCACAACACATGATAGGTTTTACTCCTCTGAAGACCATCTGACAGGTGACTCAGTTGTAGGGCATTATACCAAGCAATGCTTAAACTGTCCTAAAAGTCATAAAGCCTTTGCACAGAGTTCATCTCTAAAGGGAGTTATTTCTGCTTGAGTACACAGTTACAGTTCCTAGGAACTATTGAGCTACACAAGGCATCAAGAGTTGACCTACTTGTGTATATACTGTTCCCCTTATTTGCACTGTGCAAATAAGAGATCCTCTCTTGCAAAAACAAGAGCTCATTGTGCTATCTGTTCTGCAAACAGACAGCAAACCTGGCTCAGACTAGGCTAGCCCAGTGCAGCTTTGGTGCCACAGAATCTGTTCCATACAACAGTGGAAAGCTAGAGAACCCATACCTGGAAAAGACTGATTTTTGCCAACTGCTGTACTTTTATACACCAGGTTATTAGCACGGAATTAAGTATCATAAAAGGAACACAGGATTCCACTTATATCATTCAAGATGCTTCATCCCAGGATGAAAAAGATATGTGCTTAAAAGTAAACATTTATATCATACATTTAATTACTTCAAACCCATATATTCCTTTTTCAATTCCTCCGCTGTGTTTGAAACCTGGGGTATTGCATATTCCTGGCACATTCCCAATGTTATGCACCATT